CCGCTCTTCGAATTCTACTTTTTTGTTCCTTTCTTACAACCAACGAACAGAAACAGAAAAACACAAGAAGACAAACCCACCATTGTCATCTCATGCTGCAGCAATGAGGCTTGCTCGTCATCAACAGCTTGTCCCACAAACAGATCATCTGTCTCGGCGACTGGTAATGCGCCGTTAAGTAGTTCTCTATGCAACCGAACTGACAGAACTTCAGGCTGTGCAGATAATCCACTGGCTTTGTGCTGTTGTTGAACTGTTCCACCCACATTCCCACGCTCACATCTTCCATTTTGAACAACTGCAGATCAATACAAGAAGTGCATTCGTAGTTCATGGATTTAGATTCTTTGTCTGTAATAATAAGCAATATTCTCTTCTCGGGCAATCATAGATTAGTTTATGTTTGATACCCTTAATCTGTGTTTCTCAAACTCTCTCACGATGAAGCCTGCGATATCCGTCGACAATATGTAGCCCGGGCCATTGGCATACGGTGGATAGTCTTCCTCCGGCCATTCCTGGAAAAACCCGAGAGATAAAAACAGAGTCTTTAACCTGGACAAGTTTTCGATACATATGTTTCCCCACCAGCAGAATGATTTCGGGAAAAAAAGATGCCGGATTTAATGTCCTTTCTGTTCATCATTTTACCTCATATGTAACAGCCCATTTACCCTCGCGAAGGGGCTTATGATAATAATTGATGTTGCCAATGTATAAGCTCCGATCCAACGGTGCTTTCGTCGCTTCGCTAAGAACGGCATCCACTCGTACAAATGTGTCGTCGTCACATTTCATGATGTATTTAGCAGAGAATCTATGGGTCTGCAAGCACGAGGAGGGCGACTTTTTACCGTAACTGATTCGAAAATATCAAGAATCGAAATCTTGACCGAGTAAGTTCTTCAGGCACTCACCCCGTATTCGCAGATTGCTACGGTTTTCAGGACAACCAAGTCATAGTTGTCCATGTAAGGCACTATAACTACGTCCCCGAAGAATTCCGCTTCCTTTTTCAGCTCCACGTTCACTTCCTTTCTCGAATGCTGTTCAAATACCAAATTCCAGCATAGATAAGATACGTATGGAACACGAAAAAAGATTAGTTTTAACTGAACCAAACTTACCAATGCAACAAAGAACCGAGCCACTACTTTGGAAGATTTCACAAGTTTATGTTGCATCCAAGATCTCCTCACCGCCATCCGCTCCGCGAAATGGTGACCCGCGGAAAGGATGCCGATGAACATATCAACTTGCCCATCGAGTACATGTGGGGCCTGCCAACTGCTCGAGAACTCGAGATGCTTCTGAGGAGCAAAACTAGGGTGTGACATCGGGAGAGAACCAGCAAAAACCGAGTGGACGTCTATGTCCCCGTTAACAGTTAGCCCAGTAGCATCCTCAAGCGTAAATCCCTTCATAATGGCCAAACACCCATGTATGATTTTAGCTAAATGCATGGGATCAATACTCGTAAACAGACCAAAACCAAGGGAAAAAAAAAACAGAAACGAGTTTACGTGATATCACTTACGGTTCGGTAAGGGAAAGACGTAACATGTTTCCCGTCAACACTAACGTGATAACCCTCAAGGCCGGCGCTGAGTGTAAGCACGAAAAGCTTGTCCTCCTTGAACGGAAAAGGCCAATCTACAGTCACTTTTTTAGTCTGACCCATCAGACGACTGAGCCACCATGTCGCCGCCCTGTTCGACTCTTCTTTAGAAGAATCATTATCTCGAACCCATTTCTCGCATTTAACCTGACCGTCAACTGCAAGCAATTTCAGAATAATTACACTCCATTTGGCAGCTAAAAAACACTGGGAAAGATGCTGACAGAAACCAGAATCCAGAAGTAGCCAATTGTAGGTAAACGAGTTCGATAGAGTAGCTCTTAACTTTCTTGTCCTCAATGGCTAAACGCTCAAACCGCAATGAAAGAAAGAAACTGTTCTTTCAGCTTCTACAAAAGATACATGGGATTGTGTTCTTCTAAAGGCCATTCTTTCAGATTCTAGCAAACACAGAGTAAATTCAAATGGGTTTCTTCACTCCAAGCCATCGATCAATTAACATACGAAAAAAGGTTTCTAATTGTCTCAAAGTTTTGATTTTTGGATGGGAATCCAGACGAAAAGGACATTCTTCCATACTTAGCGTGCAATTGAGGCATCAAGCAAAAACAAAACATGAAAGACAAATGCATCAATCAATATACTCACCGGTCTCTTCATCATCCCCAGACCTCCAGCCTTCGCACCTTTGCGCCAAGCCCCATTGCATCCGGTAACAAGAGTTCTGCTCGATCACAGGCTTACCGCTCCAATCGCCCTTAAGCCTTGGATTGAAATGGAGGATCCGTGGCGGTTCCTCCCCATCCACTGCTTTCAATCCCTGCAACTCCAGTTTGAACTGAGAAACCTTCACGGCTTCGTCTCCTTCCTTCAACACTGATATTTTCGGGTCGGTTTCCGAGTGAGCAGCCCGTGGTTTCCCCACCACGGTGATGTGTGATCCGAGTGTTAGCCCGCATGGAAGCTCCATGAGGTTCCCGCGTGACAAAAGATCCGATCCGGACAAGGAGACCGAGTTCGGACATGAACTCGACCCATGTCTTTCAGATTTCTCCTTCTTCTCCTTCTCCACGGTTTTTTCTGTTTTCCCAGACTCGAGCTCTTTCCAAAGCTTCCGACCAACTTCCCAAGCTACTTTGGCGGATTTGTGGAGCTCCACGGACCCATCTTTGCTATTCGGGTCGAATGTTTCGTAATCGAATCTCAGACCGGACAGAATCTGAGGGCGACTTCTCCCATCTGATACCCAAACCCTAGAAGGCGGTTCAGATTCCTCCTGGTAGACCAGGCTCTTCAAGGGACGATTCGGAGATCGTCTCTCTTGCAGTTCCCGCTCGCTTCCGAGCTTCTCGGGTCGGGTTATCGGGTCCTGAGACAAGGAACTGAACCCGGTTCTGAAGACGAAGGGGATTTCGAGCGTGACGAGAAGAATGTACAGTAGCCCGACCGTCATTAATATCTGCACCGATCTCTGCTTGCTAAGAGAAATGAACATGTCGAACTTGTCCATCCTCTCTAGCTTCGATAACTTGGGCCTCTTCATCTCCCCTTCTCCTTCTTCTTCCTTACCCGCCTCCCCCTTCCCTCCTCTTCAGATCAAAATCAAACCAGGTAATCCAAATTCTACCGGTAACTAAATAGCTGTCTTTAGTCGCCGGGAGGACAAGAACGAATTCTGACGCTGAAAAATCAAAACTTTTTCTGGAAGAAATCACGATGATTGAACAGGAATAAGAACCCAATTGTACAAGGAATTCAAAGAGAGAACTTGAAGAAGAACACCCAGAATTCGCAGGAAAAAACGAAGGGAAATCAAGAATTCTTCAGGGCGGAGTAGAAGAGAAAAATCCGCAGAGATAACACGAAACTACGACGAACGGGATACGGAAGCCGAACGAAATTGTTCTTCTAGAGAGAACGAGAGGAAAAACGCGTCAGCACGAGGAGACGGAAGGGGAAAGGAAGGAAGAGAAGTGGCGGAAGAGAGAGGGAGCCCCGCTGCTGACGCTCCCCAATAGCCCCCGTCTTGGCATATTCGTTTTTATTTTAGTTTTTATAAATTTTCATCTTATAGATTCGTTGTATTTTTAGAACATAAATAACATATATAAATATAAATAAGTTACAATAAAAATTAAAAAATCAAATAGAATTCATTTAGTGTATGTATATAATTTTTGCGTTTTAAAATAATGAAAATCAAATCCAAAAAAATCTTCATCTGTCTAATTTAATACAAAATATTTTGTTATTTTGTTTTAATTATGATGTAAACTAAATAAAATACATTGTCCAAATTAATAGTTGATATTTTTTTAGATTATAGAATAAATTAGTATCTAATTTATAATTACAGGGTGATGACATGAATCAAAGGATTCTCTCGAAGGCATTAATCAATAATAGATGTTATTTAATTTTTAGTACAATATTTTATAATTACTTCAAAAGGAAACCTCGCCAATAAATAAAGCAAAAATATGTAAACATTCCTTTTATTTTCTCTTGAACTATAAAAAATTATGCTTCGATATTATATTATGAGTTGTGGATTTGAGGACAACCAAAAAAAAAAAATCACACGTCTTTATTTATAAAAACATAATGTAACATTGACTAATTTATATACGATTTTTAAATAATTATAAGAGATTGAGCATATAATTATCGATGGAGGTGGAATGAATTTGGTCAAAGTCGAACTGTATGTAACGCCGATGGCAGTTGCAACATATAAATTATATTTTGGGTTATTTGTTGATTATTTTTGCATAAAAAAATTCTACATAAATAAGGAAAATCTTCATATATAATGATTATATACTGAAAACAAAAGGTACATTTTTTAAAAATCTAACGAGGGAAGTATACAAATAGTAAATATTCATTGTAATAAAAATGAAAATTTTCTTTTTAGGATGAGCACAAACTTAAAAAGCAAAGAACCCTTTCCGGAAAATTATAAAATACCGAAAAAATAAAACAAAATTAAAAAGAAAGCAATATTATATATTCATATATTAAGTCGGTAAATATTATCATATTACGACAGGTGTCATTTCTATTTATAAGATATTTGGTTTTTAAAACAACAACAAATTTTTAAAACAAATAAGGAAACTAATGAAGACAAATTAGAAAAGTATCACATATATATATATATATATACATACTGTACCATGGACAATCACATACTAAAAAGATTTTATGAAATACTACTATTGTAAATTCGATACACTAATTAACATAATTTCTTGTTTGCTATTTAGCGTATGATAATTAACGTAGACGGGAAATAAATGTAATTATTATTATTATTTGTTATTTTATATTACAGTATTAAAAATTGGGAAAATGTGGAAAAGAAAGTGATAAAGGAGGGGGAATCTTAACGAAGACCGACGTAAAGAGCTTTTTAGTGGAATAAAGATGAAGTGGCCTCCATGTGTGACACCTTTGCTTCCACGTGTCTCCTCTTTAACTTTCAATTTGAGCTGACTATTCAAATCATCTATGTATTGTAAATATTGAGAAAATAAACGGTGTTATTTTATAAAAATTAATCTGTTTTATTTTTATTAAAGTTTAGTTTGATAGTTAGAAATTTATAGAATATATATATATATATTTATATGTTTTCCACAAAATAGAATAAAATATTGGACTTTAGTTTAGTTACAGAAAATAAATATGTTTAAAGGATAAAAATATACAGAAGAAAAGTTTAAATATAAATAGATAAAGTCATTCAATTTATATTTGCAAGTAAAAAAATATATTAAAAACACACGATTTATTTTTTTCCATTAATATTTACGAATTTATATAAATTTTCCAATTACAATCACTGCGTTAATTCTTAACGTGTTATACATATAATAAAATCAACAAATTGTTGAAGGCCCAAAATGGTTTGCGATGTGGTTTTGACATTCATGGCAGAGAAAACTCGTGCCGTCTACGAGCTCCCGAAACGACGCACGTGTCTTTCTTTTGAAAGAGAAACATCGTGCTGTTTAATTCTTTTTTATCCGGCTTCAGGCATCGGAGGGGCAAAACGGCAAACGAAGACGACGGACGTGAACGGAGGAAATGGTGGCGATATCATGGGCAATCTTCACAAAGTCTCCGATGTTTATCGCCGGTGGCTAATGCCGGAGCGTAAACTCTCCTTCAAGGACTTCAAATCTCTCCGCCATCGCCGTAAACAAGCTCTCTGGTTCGTCTCTTCCCTGAATCTAACCCTAATCGTAACTCTAAGCCTGATTCGGTTTCCGGGCAGGAAAGCCGCGGAGATTGGTGTGAATCGAGTTAACGAATATGGCGGCAATGTAGTCTTATTTGATTCATATGTGTAAAATTGTGTTGTGGATTCATCCTCATTTTTCTGGGTAATATAAAGGTTGTCTGATTAGATATTATTCCAACTCGAAATTCCATTCTTACATTCGTAGCCAACTCTCTCTCTCTCTCTCTCCTCACGCACGCACTCCTCCATTAAACGCGACAAATCTCTGAGACCTCGCAAAGCTCGAATCTTTCGTTTCAGTCTTATCAAAGCTCCGTACTTCTCGAATTTGGGTCAAACCCCTTTTTCGGATGAGCCCTTACCTCGTCGTCGGAAATGGACTCTTCACTTGTGAACGAATATCCCTTCTCCACTGCAGATCCTTCTTCCTATACCCTCTCTGAGATTTGGCCTTTCCCCGCCAACGACGGCGTCCGCTCTGGGTTCCGTCTATCGGTGAATTGCGGCGGATTGGCTGAGTTTTCCGGCAACAAGGACATCTCGGTGGAGGAATCTACGGTGACGGGGCACAGCAGCGGCTGCGGAGGAAGAAAGAGAAAGGATTTGGGCTCCGAGGACGAATCTTCAAGGTGGTCTCTTCCAGCAGCAGCGGTAATGGATTGGTGAGTTTGCTTTTGCACAAGCTAGGGATCTGATTTCAGTCGTGTCTGGTGTATAAAGTTTACAGCGTCTTATCACTGTGTGACTTTGTCGAAGCTCATTGGTTGTGTCCTACTTTCAATCTTTGGAATACCTGTTGTTATATATCTTGGGCATACAGGTTTATGTGGCAGGTTTTTCTTGTGCGTAGTTTTTTTTAATCACTGTCCTTAATTGATTGTCTTGTGACCAACTTTTTTGGCTTGACTGGTCATTTAATGCCTGGAAAGTGATGTGCTATGAGTTAAATTACAAGCAATTGACTGGTTAAGTTTGGCACCGATAATTGTTTTCTTCTCTTTAATCATCACAAAAAACCTCGCCTCAATTTCCTCTGGATTATGGACACTGTGAATCCAAAAGTAAATCAGGTCCTCAAACCAAAGATATATGTGTTATGTTTCCTAGTTTTTTTTTTGCTTGTCCCTCTTTGTTTATCTAACTTTCGTTTTATATTTGCATGGTGGATTATCTGTACCAATTTGTGCTTTTAATCTTGATTCTCAGCACAAGGAAACCGGCAGTGAAATGGGTTACAAACTAAAGCTTAGCTCTTGTGGTTTGTATATTGCATTTCCGTTTGTGTCACGTGTGTTCAGTGGTAAAAGGCTTGACTTGTTGTTTTTGGTTATGAGCAGAATGAATCGAGCAAGAAGAAAAGGAAAATTTCTGGATCCGAAAGCGAAAATGGGGATGGTACAAGACCTGAAGGTGAAACCAAAGACAAGAGTAAAGTTGAGCCACCAAAGGATTACATTCACGTGAGAGCGAGACGAGGGCAAGCTACTGATAGGCACAGTCTAGCAGAGCGAGTAATGCTCTCACAAAGCTTCTCGCCTTAATCATTTCTTCATATGATAACCAACTATGATAATGTCATTGATCGAATCTTTTATCATGACAACAACTTCCGGTGTGTATGGGCAAATTTCAGTTTGATACAACAATTCACTAAGGCAACAAGCCTATTTTCTTGGTCAAGTTCAATTCTTTTGATACCCAGTTTTTTCCTTTGGCAGGCTAGAAGAGAGAAGATCGGCGAGAGGATGAAGGTTCTTCAAGATCTAGTTCCGGGATGTAACACGGTATCTGATATTCCTCTAGGTGTAATCTTTCACTTGAAACTACAATATTCGATACTCTCTGTTGAGTAGGTTCCATCATTCTTCCATATATGTTCCAGATTATTGGTAAAGCTCTTGTGCTTGATGAGATTATCAACTACATTCAGTCATTAGAACGACAAGTTGAGGTACGTTCAGGATATCTACATTTTTATTTCTCTGTTAAGGATGATATATTTTATGTCTACAACGGTCGGGCTTGCAGTTTCTCTCAGTGAAGCTAGAAGTTGTTAGTTCGAGTATCGGAGGAGTCGGTCCAAGTTCCGACACTTAAGTTTTTCATTCTGGAGATGTAAGTCCCAAACCGATAACATTTCATCTGTCAGGTGAGCTTTCAGAATGATTTGATTTGATCTCGTTATATCAAGTGACAAACACCACACAGAATCAATGCTCCGGTAAGTATCTAACCGGGCTCATGGTTTGAATGCCGAAAACCAAAGCTTTTATTTTAGACCAGGTTTTCTTTCTTGAAACTAAGGAGATCTGATTGAATTTGTTTGTAACTTTCATCTATCAAACCAAGACATGACATCTCCTCTTGCAAATGACCTTTGTTGACTGAACAATGAAGCCGATCCTTGTATTTTTTTTCTTCTTCTTCTTCTTCTGAAGTATCCATAAAAACAGTTGCAACTTTTCTGGGTTTACTGATCCTTGGAGGAAAAGATCCATTTCTGATGATTTGCACATTTATATCAACCAAAGATGGAGTTTTTCTTTTCCTTCCTAACTTTTTCTCAGGAAAAACGCCGACTTTTTCCCATGATTTTTGCTTCATTTCCTAAGAAATGGTGTTGCGTTTACAGCTTGGTGATCATCCCCTCGACGGCGAGAGGAATGTATATTAGAGACAGAGCAAGAAGGCAGTGAAGGTTGAGGCCGAGGGCCTCAACGAGAATGGCTGCAGGTACAGGATGATTGAAGACTCGACCCAGCTGCATAGTCTTCTGATATTCGTGTAATTAGCTAACTGTTTTAGGTATGTATTGTAAGCCCTATTCTTTTCTCTGTATCAATTCACTGTTGAACCCATTGGATCATCGATCTGATTGTTGTTGTCACCAGGCATATATTTGTAATGATGCTCTTTTATGTAACATTTGTTTGCTTCAGTGGCAGTCCTTCAATTTCAAGTGTTGTCTCTGTCGTTTTTGGGTTGAGCAATGTCTCGGATCGAAGGGCGCCACGTGGCGTGAGATCGTGCTGTGCCGGACAAAACCTTAAAAAATGGGCTTTGACAAAAAAAGGCCCAAATTATTTGGACTTTTATGATATTATGTTTCTCTAATGGGCCTAAAATACGAGCCCATGTTTGAGAGAATCGATTCATCTACCAACACTCTACGGTTTTGCCGGTTTTCTGGTTCGGTCTAAGTTTTTTCCGGTTATTGTCGGTTTAATTGGCCTCTGGTTTGTTCGTTTAATTACCTGACCGGACAAGCACTTCTGCAGGCTCTCTCGTCTCGATCGGGGAAAGATGGGAACGGCAGGGCAGTGGCTGGAGGAAGCGCTTGTGGATCTCTGCCGGAAAACAGACTCCGGCTTGGATTTGGATCGTGACCTTATCTCCGGTCTCGTGTCTTATTGCGATCTCGCTCAGCCTCTCGATGCTAAGGAGTATCTCGACGTAATATTTCCGTCTGTTCCTATTCTGATTCTTTTATGAAGCTCGTTTCCGTTGCATTCACTGTTTCCTCGTAGATTTCGATTTGTTTTTTTAGGAATTCGATGGTTGTGGATCTGTGGGTTTGACGCGTAGGGTTTCTTACGGGAAATTTCGCTCCTTCTGTTGTGTTACTGATTCGATTTGATTGCATTTGATGAGAATGCTTTGTTAAGAAGCTCTCTGATCGGTTTGAAATCCTAGGATTCGATCGAGGGATAGTGATATTTGCTGCCGTTTCTTTGTCTGATCAATGATGCTTGAGTTTTCGTGTTCAGAATTGAGGTTTTCTAGTAGATTGATGGGTTATGTCTTCATGATTATGGGGCAATCTTTAGTTAAGAGGACTCTACAATTTAAATTTTTGTATCAACCCCCATTATCTGGAACTCTTGTGTTGTGACGAATAGTTGTGATATATATATATATAATCTTGTTTATATAAAGTAAATCTGACTGGCCTTGTCCATAAATTTACTCAGAATATTGTTGGAAGAGAAGTCGGAAAAGGCATCATCGAAGAATATCTGCAACGAAGAGGCTACTCAGATCCAGGCAGCCAAATAACAGAAAGTACAGCACCGGGACTGCAAATGTATGTAAAGCCCAAGTCGGATAATGGTGCTTCCAGTGGGACGAAGAATACATTTAAAGCACCAAAAGAGGGAGCACCCTCTGCTCGTCAAGGTGGACCTGGGAAGGTGACGCAGCCTGCAAATCAAGCAGAGCCGAGGAACGATTCTGCCTTGGCTACTTACCAGGAGAATGCAGCAAAGGGCGGTAATTCCAAGAAGAAGAAGGGAGGAAAAGTCATTTCTCTTGCAGAGGCAGCTAAAGGCTCGATAGTTTTTCAGCAAGGAAAGCCGTGTTCATGCCATGCTCGCAGGCACAGATTAGTGAGCAATTGCTTGTCTTGCGGGAAAGTTGTGTGCGAGCAAGAGGGAGAAGGGCCTTGCAGTTTCTGCGGGGCGCTTGTGCTGAAAGATGGAAGTACTTATGCGGGTTTGGATGAAGGGTTTACTCCTGTATCTGATGCCGAGTCAGCAGCTGAAGCTTATGCGAAAAGGCTCGTTGAGTATGATAGGAACTCAGCTGCTCGTACAACGGTTATTGATGACCAGAGTGACTATTACGAGATTGAGGGCAATAGTTGGCTGTCTAATGAGGTAAAGAATCCATCCTTTCCATGAATATACCGGCTTTTCTCTCTCTCTCTCTCTCATTTGTCTAGTCTTTTATTCATTTGAGATTGAATGGTCTCAGGAAAAGGAGCTTTTGAGGAAGAAGCGAGAAGAGATTGAAGAAGCTGAACGCGCCAAAAGAAGCAAAGTGGTCATGACATTTGATTTGGTTGGCCGTAAGGTACTTAATGAAATTTTTAACCGATGATTTGACCGATATTGGGGAAATTACTGAATTAAAAGAGTTCGGTATCTACAAACACGAAATGATGCTTTATAAAGGCAAGCACATGGAATTTGTCTTGACTGTTCTAAGCCATCATGATGCAGGTACTGCTAAACGAAGATGATCTTTCAGAACTGGAGTCGAAAAACAGGATCCTGGGGCCGCCAGACAAGAAAGAGGTGAATAGGATAAAACCGAACCCAACTGCAAGGCTCATACCGATTTTCATGGACCCGGGTCCGACTGACAAGAAGCCAAGCAGAAGCAGCAGCTCCAAGAACAGAACTGGAAACAGCGGGTTATGTCTGGAGATCACAGGAAGAGTGCAGCACGACAGGAGTGAGCTTAGGTACTTACAATCGAACGCCGAGCCATATGGTAAGAATGAAGGGCTTCACATGGAAGATGGGGGAGAGTGTTCTCTTGATTATGATTGAAACTGAATAGATGGAAGATGATGGTGAGGTGAACATTACAGAGGATTAAATCCAAACTTTTTTGTTCAATGTTAAGGAAGAACAGGCTTCACGGTGAGATTACAATTTCACAAGATTCAAAGATTCAGTGGGACACATATATATACAAGTATGTTTGCCAAGCTCAGCTCTCGACCCTTTTGATCTTTGTTCTTGCCATATTCCAATGGAAAGAATTATCAAAAATCTGAACTTCAATTGGGAATTTCGCTGCTCGAGAACAACGATGGGACCTGAAGGCTTCTTCCTCCCTCAGTTGCGTTGCAGACCTGTGCAAATGCGAAATAGAGCTCTATGGTTTGGTCTCAGACTCTCAGGTATGACAAAGAATGCTTCATAATCGATTTTGTGTCAGAGGGTTTCAGCATACCTGCAGGTCCTGTTGTCGCGAAAGAATCTGACAGAATCTCAGCTAATGGGTTGACAATAAATCCATCGGCATTGTTAGGCCCAACTGTTTCTGCGTTTCCATTATGGTAAACAGATGGAGGATCAGCGTAAATGGACAACCTTGATGCCGGATTCCGGGAATCGAGTTTCCTCCAGAATTTGGGCTTAATAAATCCTGCAGCATGAAACAGGCAACAGTTGATTCTCTCTGAATAATTAGTCATCCTCCCATTCGATTCCGCCAAGTCAGAGGAGATCTCGTCCAATGCAAGTTCAAGGCTGTGAACGCGTGTCTCCAGAGCACGCATGCCATTTTGTGAACTGCTCTATATATAATAACAGGAGAACGAAAGAGTTATGATCTTTCGACATGATCAGGACCCGAGTGAAAACGAAAGAGATCCGAGCATCTGCAAATGTTAGCGTCTTTTCAAGCTTTGGAAACAAACCTGCAGGACATCCATTAAACTGGATTGCTGCTGTTCAATCTGAACAAGCTGATTACGGATCAAGGACAAATCTTCGAAGCCCTTGCAGTTACTCTTCTGACTCTCGGACAAGACATGTCCTGTTGCGGGAGCAGCTGCACATCGAGAGCCCTTGTGATAGGTTCGACTTGGTTCCTTTGTTTTCTCGCCATGCCCACTCTCTTCATCAACGGGTGCAATACTAGGAATACTAGTGCCAGATTTCCAGTCCAACATTCTCCTTACATGTGGTTTCTTCTCACTGCATTTCGTGTTATTCCTTTGTCTAGCCGTGGTGGCCATCGAGCTCTCGGGTGGAGTTGATCTGCTTGCTGGAGGAGTTCTTCCCGTTTCAGCAAATTCGAAACTGGGAGTTGAAGCGACTTTCGATCCAGAAGGGTATCGCCCATCACTTGCATCATCTGTCCCAGTGACCACATTCAGAAAACAAACGTAAACATCAGACTTGTCCAAAACAGACGCATTGACACAGAATCAGGAAAGAAGGCAAGAGATTTCTCTATTTCCTCCATCTGAGGCACTATTTGACTGTCTTGAATCTTGACTAGGCTCAGATCCAAAACTGTACTCTTCAATGGTTTAATACTAGAACAATGGAGGAGTGGGGTGGCCAAAATACCTTTGGAAGAAGCATTCGATCTGGGTGGAGAAGTCTCCTCGGATATATCAGGGACTTGCTTCCAAACCTCGATCATCTGATTCATCACTTCTCTTACAGCTTTCACCTACACAATCAACACAAATTGATTGAAACCCTTGATCATACTTCATTAAACAAATGTATATTCGAGGGAATATTAAGTTAACGAAAACCTTGTCGTATTTTCTGCTTTCGAACGTCTTCAAGCATCTAGTCTTGAACTCGGCTAAGTTATCTCTCTCCATGGCGGCCAGTCTCGCCAAGGCTTCAGAAGTAGCTTTCCTTGCCGCCCAATCTTCGTTGCCCAAGAAGCTTAACAAACAGTCTACCAGACCCTTCAATACGCCGGAACCCACGGCAACACCACCGGAGCCAATCACGCTTCCGATCACCACCAGACCCGCGGCCTTCGCCTTGAACGCGTCGCGTTTCACCAGCTTCTCCAGTCTCGGCAGGAGCACCCGCCCGAGGCGACCAGGATCAGGATCGGGCGCCGCGTCGATCGCCGCCGCGAGGCACAGCGCGGCTCCGATCTGCGCATTGGTCTCCTGCTCAGTGAAGAGCCCGTCCGACAACGGCTTCAGGAACGCCGACGCGAATGACGGCTTCGTCGTCCGGGAAGAAAGCGCCGACACGGCCGCGACGCATGTGGACCGTATGGAAGAGTCCGGATCGCGAAGACGGCGCGTGAGGCGCGTTAGTATCCTAGATAGAAAAGGAGAGAGAGAATTCGGAGGGAGGGAGAGCGACAAAACCGAAAGCAAGTGGACACAATGCTTCCTCACAGCCGGTTTATCTCCGGTATCGGCGGAGAGTATAACGGAGATAAACGGCTGGAGATTTCCGGAGACAGGATCAATATCTCTGGCAATGGACTCGAGCTCCTTCGCCGCCATTGAGAAAGTGTCTCTATCGCCAAGCTTGGATAACAACACCGAGAGCTTCTGCTTCATGTTCTTCGCCATTTTCCGATGGCTTCCGAATTCTCAGGCGGAACAGTGAGTCTCCGGAGACGGTGGAGGAGCGGGAGGAATGGGAAGAAGCGGTGGCATTTGCGTAAATAAGTGCGACGGAGGCTGGTGGTCAGTGAAGTTGAGCTCTTAATTTGTACTATTGAGCGTGAGAGAAGACGACTCCAAAACGGTGCCGCTTTAGTGGTGTCATAAAAAGGATTCCTCACGGGGGCACAATGATACGACACCGTTTTATGAAAAGTGGGATTGACGGAATCTTTTCCTTTTATTCCCTGTAAGTTTCCCTTTGGTTGTTGAAGCTGTGTTGTTGATAACTTAGTGGGGCAAATAAAATATTTGTTTTGGGTAGGTGTTCGGTATAAATATCGCAAGAATGGTTGTGACTTGTGAACAATAACAATGATGATATTCTCAAGATTATAGAATTATCAAATTAGAATCTTTTCATATATGAGCAAATAAATAAATATACAAAAAAAAAAACAAATAGGATGCCAAAAGACAGTATAATTAAAGGGGGCGAAGAGATAAACAATGTTTGGGGAAAAAGCTGAATGAATTTAGCCTTCCGTGACCTGAAGTAAACATTTGATAAAGTCCCCCAAAGGGAAAACAAGTGGTAAAAGTGAAAACTAGTGGAAACAAAAGTTATTTATACAGATGTATAGTTGTATACATAAAGGAGCTTTTAATAATGTCATACGACAGGGCATGGGAGGAGAGAGATTTCATTCACGTGATGGCCAAAAATGACTAAATCCAAAAATGAAGAAAGACATGCTTCATTCACATGACGATACCATAAAAACTAGCCGTTATAGTCAAAGACTCACAAAGTCCACTCGAGCCTATTATATATATATATATATATATATAAGGTTCAATCTGATGAAACCCAAACCCAACTATAGGAAGAAAAATAAATCTGACTCACCTCACCTGAGATGATGCAACAATTTCATCATAATCCGTAAGAGGTTGGTGGATATACACATATCTACAAGAGTTTTTTTTTTATAATCGGATATCATGAACCAAGGTCCAGACTAATTCCCGTACCGGGATTTAGCCATGTGATTTGGATTAAACGCTCCCTCTCCAAACTTGATATTCGAATTCGGGATGGAACAGACACTTTGCGTCCTGTTACAAAGATAATAGTTAGCTGGAAATGCAAACAAAAACTTTTCACATACCTTAACCAAGCAAGGGATCTGCCATACAATAACATAGTTGAAAAATGTTATTATTAGCCTCACCACTCATCATATATGCTTTAAACACCAAAGCATGCTCTCCTTTCAAAGGTTGTTAATGGGCACCCAGTGGTCTTAAATGAACTCCCTTAGCTATCTATCACTAAATTAAGAAGCTACACCTGATCATATTGACCTCTTGGACCATGCCTCATCAGACCCTTTACCAGACCTGGAAGCAAAGGTTAGAAACTTCGACGGAATGGCATACCCAAAAATGTTAGACATAGCTTCAATCAAGTTATATGGGTATCCTGGAATATCCATAAGCTTATTCTTCTACATTTGGGCCCCTAGGAAACCACTATGCAACACTTCCATCAGAAACTTTCATCCAAATCCTTGACAAACACATATGTCACACAGAATCTCCCAAAAAACATTCAGACTGCAGAGGGAACCAATAACATGAGAAACAAAGCAACCACCACCTTGCTCTTGCTCGTTATTCTTGCATTTCGCAACAATGTCTTTTTCTGTGTCCACTTATTCAGACGTCGAAAAAGAAACAACTCAAGAATATAGACTTTATTCCGACAGTTAAGAAGACAATGTATAACAGGGCATACAGTCTCATTGTTCCCGAGCGCCTTCTTTCATCATTGTTTTGACATAGATTTCATAGCAGCATCCTGAAATCAACCAAACAAAGAAACCATGTGGAGAGAAGAGAGACAAAATCCTAAACCCACATGAATCAGATAACGGCAAACAATCTGAAAACTTCCCAATTCCGGTTCAGGATATATATATATATATAAATATATTGCTTATGAATTCAATCCTAGACCCTAGATGATCTGATAATACTAATGGAACAGAAGATTCAATCGCACTTTCAAAGCTCAATCACATTACATTGTAACAAATGTCTGGCCAGACGGTGAAGTCCATCAAACTGAAGATAATATCGTTGTTAGTTTTCTAGACAGTTGAGCAGTCAGATTCCACCATTGAAGAATCACAGTGGAAAAGCAGAGAACAACTAAGCATACCAGTGAAAATCGCATTCAGATATAAACAAACCGATAGTAGATGATCTTTTTTTCATCTTCCCAAATCGATTATCAGAACAAGAGTATGAAACTCATCTTCTACCTGCAACAACCACAATGGTGAGTACATCTCCAATCTTCTTCACTCTGTGTACACCCTTCTTATGCGACTTGAATCTCCTCAAAGCTGCATCCTCCGCCAAGAGCTGCACGAGAATTCGATCAATTAAAACAGCCGATTCAGCAAGAAAGAACAAGGAATTAGATGGAATCAACCATCAATTTGAGTCCAAATTCGCTTCGACCCGACCCCAAGTTCATCAAAATGAAGCAAAATCAGAACAAGGAATAAACAAAAAAAACCCTAACAACAAAACACGAAATCGAATCCTTACAGCTTTCTCGCGAGCCCCAGGCTCAACGTGAAACCCTCTCTTAGACAGAGCTAAGGCATCATCAGTCTTCTGCAAAAATTTCAGAGGAGGAAAATGATTCGTCACAGATCAAGTGAATCCGTCGAATCCAGTAACGAGATTCGATTTCCATACCTTGGGGTGTGATCGAAAGTGTGATGAGATTGAGTTGTTGTTGAGAAAAAACGCCATTTTCGACGAGGAAGAAAGATCAAAGAAATAGGACGAAGATAACGACGACGGAAAAGAAACGAGGCCAAACCAAACATCTTGAAAAGTTCACACAGTACTTATGGTAGAAAAACTTTAATTTCATATTTTCATTTCGTGCTTAAAACTATGGAAACATTTCATTTTAACCCCACAACAATTTAATTTACAATCACGGCCTCACATGAGTTAATTGTCAAGGAAAGAGCAATTGGCACGTTATGTAGCCTCCAAAATTTCAAGAATGAACTTGAGAAAACAAAACGAATCCGCAAGCTTCGTTTCATTTGAATCCAACTATGGAGAAAAAAAAACATAGAATCAGACCAAAATGGATGGATATTCACAAGTTTCAGACACTAACAACTGTCACAAAACATAGAACCAGACCAGAAGCATCAAACTTCTTGATTCCGAAGACAGAGAGCTTCTCTGTCATGGCAAAAACCTGCAAGTTCAAAATATTCACCAGCTTCACCACAACACTAGGGGCTTAAAAAAAGGAACCCTTCTGTTTTTTTTCGCCTCTGGCTGACGAAAAAACAGAGCTTTGTATATATATACACACTGGCTCGATCTGTTCAGGGACGGGGCTAGGTTTCAGAGTTTACTTGAGGGTGGGTTTTTCTGAGAGCCACCAATTTCCGAACAGAGAGCCATTTCAGGACACTGAAAAGCTTTGTCCATCTTCTCTGGGCCTTCTCCACAGCTACATCTGAATGAAGAGGCTGTTGTGACATGAACCCATCAAGCATGCTCTGAAGATCGGCTTGCGATTCTTCTAAAACTAGACTCTGACAGCACTGAGGATTGGGGCTGTTGGTTAGATACCGGAGATGGTAATCATCGCTTAAGGCTTGTGGAGTTGCTTCTATGGTGTACTGTCCTGCTGCCGGTGCTTGAGGAGAACACCTAACAGGTCCTGAATCTTGAAGAGTTTGCAGGTCAAAGATATCCAAGCCGGCCATTGTAGCACCAGGGTAATCAAACCCATCAACATTTTGAGAAGCCACCATTACATTTCTTGCACCAGAAGTAGCCATTGCTGAGGAGTTCGAAGCTGATACCATGTTATTTTGTAAAAGTTCTCCCATCAAAGAAGCCTCATCGGGATACATGATTACTTCATCGGGGTGACTCAATGCAGCAATCACCATCCCCCGAGCTTGCACCTGATCAGAAAATCACGTCAAGAAAGAAAAAGAAAAAAGAAACGTAAATCCACACCTATGCACACTAAGGAACAAAGAAAAAAACAGATTATAATTCATGCCTTTTCAGCCTCCGTTAGGGTTTCAGTAGGAATATACTGAAATTCCTTGAGCATCCCCAGGACTTGAGCCACGGTGTTGAAGACAACGCCTGATTTCTTTTGAGAGGCAAGAGGACAGTAGACATGAACACTACCATTAAGCACACATGTCTGAGCATGTTCCACAGTAACTTCCCACATCTTTGCAGACATACCCGGTCCGAGTATCTGCAGAACATCATCATACCACAACATTACATTTAATCCAGCTTCACCCAACACCTTATATTTAACTATATTACAGCTTTGGTCTTTCTTCTTTCTAAAAACTCTATATTCATTGTGTTTACAGTTTCGAAAGATGGTAAACATTTGACGAGTTAACCATCTTTAGAATGGAAGGTTAAAGTCCACCCAAAAGAAAAAGAAGCAAGAACAGCAGCTCAATTCTGAAACCACAGATAGTATACTAGAAGAAGAAAGATAATCTTACGTGCCGGAGGTTTGGAGGGTTTAAGTAGAATTGAATCAAGAAATCCTTGACAGTTTTTATATTTTCTCGATCCAAACGCTTGTGAAACGCTCCATCTTTGCCTATCTTTTCCAATCTCCACACTTCATCAAATAGTGAAGGAGGATGATGCTTTCTGTACACTACAACACAAAACAAAACCCAATTACTTCACCTTGCTGAGAGATCCCCAAACGAACTCATAGAGTAAGAGAACCCCGAAAGCTATGATCCTCTTACTTCACATGCAGTTGCATAAACCAGATTAAGAGTTTTGGAGTCCAAATGCATGAAATGCAATGACAGAAACTATGATACATGAAATGCAACAAAAGAGGAGTATTACTTACATTCTCCTCGGTGATCCCTAACAATAAAAGATTCTGTTGTTGCCTCTTTAACTTTTACAAAATCAAACTGATCCACCATTCTTGCCCCAAGTCTGAACTTCCGGCTCCTCGTCCAGCTAGAATTATCTGTAAATGAAATTTCACTCATAACACCGATCCCATCGTTAAGAACCACAAATACTTCCCCGTTGAGTAGGTGTTTTTTCCCCTCTCTCTCTCTTACAATGTTATTACTGAATTCCTCAACCGTCCAATGGCTATCGCTATCAAAATCACCCTCAATAACAACGATTTCCACTTTTGCAGATGATCCAGGTCCAGAAGTGACTATTTGACCAGTTGATGGTTCAATCAATCCGATTCTTATAGCTTGACTATCATCTCCCTCTATCCGGGCCGAAGTGAACACGGGAAGCGATAGGTTAGTCAAGAACTTGAGCTGTAGGTTCCTTGACTCCAAAGCAAGCGTCTCTTTCTCACAAATCCTGAACAATGATGAACATGAAGAAGTATATTTAAATTCAAATCCCGAAAAGTAATTTTTGATCATTTACTTAGGTGTCTTATTGGTGGAGAATGAAGAGTAGATTGGAAAGCAGTTCACCATTTTTTGCCAGTCAGATGCTTTCCAAGAGCCAATTCAACTTCCTCCTTCACCTGTATCAGATGATATTGTCGAATTAATCATTTAAATTACCAAAGATCTTGAGTCCAAACCCAGTCTTAAAAACAGGTAATAAGAGAGAATTTTTTTTTTTTAAAGATTAGTTTTAAACCATGATATTTACTGATACATACCACTTTGCGGATCAAGGGCTCAAGAACCGGTTCTAGCAAATGTTTGACAGTCTGCAATCTCATCACCTCCTGAACCACACTAAATTTGGACACATAATTAGATGTAGAATACACAGAGCCTATATCAGAGAACAAACCAATTGTGATTTGACAAACAGATGATAAAGAGCTTAGAAACTGATCCCACTTTGGCAGTATTGATACTCTTCTGAAAGTTAATACCTTTCAGAACAAGAATTACAGTTTTTCTTGTACTCTTTCGTTTTAAACATAAATCATTGCCCTCCAAAACATTAGAGGGAAAAGAATGCATCCAAAAGAATGCCCTTGATTCCTCGCTCTACTCAAGTTCCATGCATCGGAAATGCAGATAACCGTGGGGGATTCCACATCTGGGCACAAAGGTTAAGCACTAGCAGCTACAAACAAAATACATGTTTTGCTTCTTTACATAAGCAAGCCCTTATGATTTTCTATTTTATGGGCAAGAAGATGTTAACTGCAAGAACAGAAGCCTTCCAAAGTAGGATCCTTTAATGTCAAACAAAAGTAGTTATCAGACAAGAGCACCTAAAATTTCAAGAAATGGCGATGCTTAGTATCAAGCAACCGTAAAAATTAAAACTCCACAGGAAGCACTGTATCCAACAGCAAGTGACTGGCAAACCCAAACTTCATTTCCATAGACATTTTACATCAAAACCAAGCAAACCGATAGACAAACTACAACTTCTCTCTTTCAAAACACTTCATCTCTCCAAAAGCATCAGTCTTTTACAAACCGAAACGAAACCCAGTTTTAACCTTCACAAAGAGAACCCAGTATTTAACCCATCTAGAATATAATCAATGACAAAGAACCGAGTAATCATGGCAGAAACCGTCCTGTTAAAGGCCCAAAATGATGTAACATATAGAACACCAGTGGCACGCGTTACCATGATTGTAAATCCGAACATTAAGATAGATTAAACCCACGCAAAGATTCTTACTGATTCCACCTATCCAGCAGATGCTATCTAAATCAAACCCTAAAACAATTTTGAGTTAGACCAGACGAGAAGAAGGAAAAATTGCGCGAAGAACAACTCACCTTCTGAATCTTCTGCGCTTATCCTCGGGCGAACCAGCCTCATATCGACTTTTCCCTTGCTCCGAATGCCTCTTCTGCGACATTTTCCGACACCCACGGCGAAGAACACGGAGATGCAGCGACCGAATTCGAGAAAGAGCCGGTGTATAACCCAGAAAATCGAGGTCATTTAACGGATTGTGCTCGTGGTTATCTCCGAGAGATAAGATTTTAAGGAAAGATACAAGGAAACAAGAAGAGGGTTGTCGTAATATGATCTACGAAAAAAAATCCGTATCTTGGCTTTTTATTATTCACCATGAAAATCTTCCTTCCTCAACAGCTCTTGGGGGATGGTGGGTGCGCTGGGTGGGTGTCGTCTATCCTGCGAACAAAAGGATACAAAAAAAGGACATGCAGTTTTTGAGTAAATGATAAAGACGGTGAGGTGTCTGAAGTTCGGTAAGACGGGGCCCACAGAAACCGCGTTTTGGCGAAAAAGACTCCGAAGAATCTCTGCTTAAATCAAAGTCATTTTGTTCATAAATACAAATTAATTGTTCCTTTCAAGATAACATTTTCGTAAAATAAATCAATAAAGAAAATCTCGTGATTATACGAATTTGTTAAAATTTTAAGTTTAAAAAATAAGAGGCCAATTTTTTCGATTTCAGTTTAAAATTATGAATTTTACAATAACATTAAAAAAACACGGAATTTAATAAAGATTTTTTTTTGGAAAAATATAAGTCAAATAAAAAAAATGTCAAATGTTGTATAATTTATTGGAAGTCTTTGTAAAATTAATGATTTTCAGTATTAGTAAAAAAATCTAGATATTTTTTTAAAAAAATTGAAAATCCTTATATTATTCTAAGAATCAATAACAAATGATTTTTAAAACAAAACAAGAAGAAACAGAAATCTGCACGTGATTAAAATCCATCCACCTAAATGAAACTCTGAATTGAGCAGACACGCTGCTAGAAGCCTAGAATAATGTTATATGGACCATCAACAATTAAAACTACTGTTACATGTAGATATCATGCAAATAAATGCGAATGGATGGATACCTCATGAAATGATGTCATGGCTGCATGCCATTGCCATTCATTATAAGTTCATCACATTAACCATTTGGATTCAGGGTCTTTACATCAAGATTCAAAAGAGGACAATCACCACCATCATCATCATCATCATCATCAAGAGATGAAGCTACTTTCCCTTTGGATTTAGAAGAGTTGTTCTTCTTGCATCCGGTGCAGAGCTTACCGTGTGTGTACAATAGACAGTTCAGATCAAACTTTAGCAGATCTGGGATCCTTCTGTTCAGATGAACATAAGTCTTGTTCCTGTCTGCCATTGCTGGAACCCAACCCATCGTCTTCGAGATCTCGAATACCTGTTTCAGGGTTTTCTTTATTACAGTGAGAACTAAATCCGATTAAACCCGAGAAAGGAAGATATCGCAATGTGTTAGATTAGTTAGATACTCACATGAGTGTCAACTGGGAAATCATTGTGCTGGAGATTGAACATTAGAATACAAGAAACCTGTTGTCATTCAGTTCAGACAGCCATTCTTGGTCAGTTTTCTTATGTTCTTGTCCCATGGACAAGAATACCGTGTGGTTAACAGTAACAGTAGCTATCCACAACAATGGATTAGTAGTAGTAGTAGTAGTAGTAGTCTCGTTTACCGTTTTCGGGCCGACGCCTTTGAAACGAGAGAGCTCGGTTTTGACTTCATCTACCGATAAACCTCGCAAGTACTCCAAGCATAACTTGCCTTTCTCGCTGTGCAGACGGGCCAATATGTTCTTGATACACGCAGCTTTTTTGGGGGCCAAACCTCCACATCTTATAGCATCCTCGATAGATTTAAGATCAGCAACAAGAACCTATAACAAGGAAGCATAAACCAAACATGGTGCAGAGAAAAGCAGACAGGGAGAAGAGAGACGAAGAGTGTTAAAAAGACACAACGAGAAAGCAAGTGGTTGGACATAACATAATCTCTGACCAGATGATTTGCTCATCTCATAACTACAAAGAGTTCAAAGAAAAGGGATTGCAATAAGTGACGAGCTAAAGGCCTAAACCTTTTCATGGATCAATGTCTTGTTCACGTCCATGGCATTGTTTCTTGTGAGAACCATCCAAAGATTCTAAGTGAACCACATCATAAACCATCACAAAACCTAAGTCTTGTATTGTATCTCCCAACCAAATCTTCCTAAACCCAGAAAACCCATGAACCCTAGAGATCAACAGGAGAAACATCCACACAATGTCGAAGAAACTCACATCTTCCCATGTCGGAAACGCAGCTTTGAGAGAAGCAAAAGCCCTTAGGGAATTGGCCTCGGTGGTGTTCTGAGACAGAAGCGTTTTAACAAGCCCATCAAGCACACTCTCATCCTCCTCCGTATCCGTAGAATGGCGATCGCAATCGGTTCCTCCGTCCACATCGGAGAGCGACCGGAGTCTCCGGCGGCGGTGACCGGCGAACTCGGGAGGGAAGCCGTGGAGAGACAAGAGAACGTCCCTCACTGCTCGGCACTCGTCAGGAGTTGGCCTGGGATGGGTCGGGTACGGGTCGCCCCCGCCCCTACCGCCGCCG